TTATTTTTGAAAGAGAGACAGAGACAGAGTGTGAGTGGGGGAGGGTCAGAGAGAGAGGGAGACACAGAATCTGAAGCAGGCTCCAGACTCCAAGCTGTCAGCACAGAACCGGATTCGGGGCTCGAACCCATGGACCATGAGATCATGACCAACTGGGGCTGAAGTTGGAGGCTTACCTGACTGAGCCAACCAGGCGCCCCTGGTATAGTTTTTTTTTTTTATTTAAATTTCAAAAGTTATATGTAATAAATTTTAAGAATATTAAATGCTTAGTACATAATATCAACTTTTTCCCAGAGAGATGCAATTTTCTATGATTTCTTTTTTAAGTTTGAGAATCTCCAAAGGAAAAGGATCATGTTTCAAATTACACTTCTTAATAATTGAAATGAAATCTGTTCTCTAGGTAGCAAATCCCTAAAGGTTTTCCTTACATCATCATGTGTTTATAACTTCTTGTTAGATAGAATAGGTGCCAGACCATATGATGAAAAATGTCTGGCACATAGAAGCATTATAGTGAAACAGTTAAAATGTAAGCTAATGAGTCAGACTATTAATGCTCAAATCCTGTCTTCTCTATTTACTACCTGGGTGACTGCACAGATTCTTAAACTCTCTGTGCATCAGTATCACCATTTTAAAAGCATTTGCTCAATAGGATTAGATGAGCTAATACTGGCCAGTGCTTAGAACACTGTTGGGCAGAGTTTACTATATAAATACTAGCCATTATTATTACTATAGAAGTAGATCTATTGTTATTATATAGTATAGCAATTGTTATATTGTGTTGTGCTATATTATTAACCTAGTGATTACTCACTACTTATGAAATAGATGACTATGGAAATATATTCTTTTAATATTTTTGAATGTTTATTTATTTTTGAGAAAGAGAGAGACAGAGTGCGAGCAGGGGAGGGACAGAAAGAGAGGGAGATACAGAATCCAAAGCAGGCTCCAGGCTCCGAGCTGTCAGCACAGGGCCCGACGCAGGGCTCGAACTCACAAACCATGAGATAACGACCTGAGTCAAAGCCAGCCGCCCACTGACTGAGCCACCCATGTGCCCTGGAAATATATTCTTTTTACTGAAATATTTTAAGTTCACATTTCATTACATTGAAATAAATAGCACTTTAACTATGGAGTAATAGTAAAGATTGGAAGTTGCATTTGATTTGCATTGGAGTCCTTTTCCTGAAAGACGGCTGAGGATTATAAGGGCCTGGCCTATGCAGTGGGGATCTCACAGGGTGGGGGATGGACAGATAGAATATCTTTTACCAGATCCTGGATTCAAAGCAAAGAGTCAAGATAGGAAGAGAAGAAAGGCAACATCTGTAAGTCAAGAATCAAGGCACCAAAAGGAAGGCACAGATGCCAAGGAACTGGAGAACCAGGGACATTGAGAACAGAAAATAACGGGTCAACAATAAACCTGAAGTTGTCACTGAAACAGATTGGGGCAGATTCTGTCACCCATAGCTAGCCTTATGAGACCTGATTCCTGGGCAGGAGGCCGTATGGACCAGCCATTAGTCCCTTCATCACTTCTATTACTGGTGCACTGCTTTCCACCAAACACAACCTGAACTTGCATTTTCGGCAAAGACACACACTCAAGATGATATTTGTTACCTTAAAAATTGGTATTCGTGTGCAACTTCATCACAAAAGAAATAGAAAGCACCTCCCTCAGTAGCAAAAAAATAAAATAAACATTCACGTGTCCCTCTGACATCAACACATGTATCAGAGCACAACAAACAACATGATAAAATCATCAACAGAAACAGAGACCTATAAGTTATGGCAGATACTGCAACTAATAATTTTTAGGTATGTCAAAGATTACCTGGGGAGAAAGAAAGAAACAAAAATAACAGAACACATGTCAAATTCATAAAATTGACTTGTATCTGAAAGAAGGCATCTCCAGAAAGTGATCTTTATCTGAATCATACTTCTCTGAAAGGGGAGGATAGGGAATTCTAGCTTGATCTTGCTCTCAGTCTGTTGAATATTCATTTTGGGCAACAGAACGCAATTTACATCATGTGAGGCCCAGGTCTGTGTGCAGGAACACCCTTTAGGGAACTCAGATGAAGCTTCTAAAATAACAAGAACATTTTCCAGTTCACCACAGAGGGAATCCGCAGCTCGAATTTCATTTTCTTTGACAGGTTTTTCCAGATTTGCTCAAGAAAATGCCCCAGAGAATGATTCTGCTTAAGTTTTATGTGCGTGTGTGTGTGTGTGTGTGTGTGCGTGCGGGCGTGTGCGTGGGTAATGTCTGTATACATGTTTACATGTAGTTTTTTGATGATAATATTTAGCAATAACAGAGTTTTAAAGAATTTAAATGAACATGACATGCAAACCCAAATAAGAGCATTTTTCTTTGAGGTACCATGAATTTAACCTGTCAACTTTTGCTCAAAGGAGAAAAGAAATACTTTCATCTAAGTCTCTATTGTTTGGTCCTATGGCAGAAATTAATTCTGACTCCACTATAATGTATGGATACAGCACATCTGAATGAGATTTATGTGTAAATAATAAATATTGCAGAAGAAGTCATATGGCTAAAAAGGTGCTCAACTTCTAGGATACGTTAACACAAAACAGAAAGACTTGCTTAGATTTAAATTCGATACATGTTTTATAAGTATTTTTGCCTGCAAAACATTGACACAATTTGAATTCCTGGTTTCAAAAGTCTACTCTTTTTAAATTTTATTTTTTAGAATTCATAATAATTCTGTTTCTCTTTATAAAATAATCTTTTACAGGAAATTCTCTAAGACAAGTACATTTCTAAATAGAAATAAAAGATTATATTAACCTCAACCCTTTCAAAATTATTCCATTTTCTACAAACTAGCTCATTTTTTTAAAATACACAAACGCACAATTTTAAGAGGTAATATTACTCTTCCACTTGACATATATACTGATATTATCAGACAGTGATGAATAATAAAGAAACAGCCCTTACAGCACTGTAGTAAAGATCAAATATTAAAGCAAAGATGGCAGAGTCAATAGACACAGATCCTTCTCATTTTTGTTGTTGCTACTACCGTTTTGGGTTTTTTTTTTGCAAACATTGAATGAATGGCCAACACCTTTGGCATGTTACTTACTGATGGGTAGAGGTAACCTTCTCCATTCATGGCTATATACAATCCTGTCTTCACTCCCTGGATGGCAACAACGCGCAGTCCCACTGGTATGAGGTTGAACAGTGCTGTAAAGATAAACATGGCCTGTCACAAATGGGCAGGGGAAGCAAACCTTTGCCATCACTTTTCTGTCTTTCGTTTCTTTTATTGAAAAAAAAATCATCTATGTTACAACCTTCTGAGAAGTTCCAATTAAGTTTTATTTCTCTTTCTAATGAAGACGTATCTTCAATGGGTAAAATCAGCCCTTGAGCTTCAACGTATAGATATCAGCAGTCCACCTATAGCATTGCAAAGAATTGGTGGACCAATACACAGACTCAAGCCTGTAATCATGATTCCAGTATCACAGTCTCTGACATCGTTTGATGCCAAAAGAAATCAGCTGTGAAGATTCTCAAAGAGTGGAATCAAAAAGTCCAAGTTGAATGCTTAGTCTGGTCTTTCAAGCAGAAAGCATGTTTTATCACTGCAGTGTAGGACAGGCTAGAAGTTTAAAAGGTAATTTCAAAACTAAATTAGTCTTGCTGAACCAACATGAGATGCCAGCAGAGCCCAGAAAAGGTGTGTAGATGTCAATGTGCTCAATTTAGAAAGAACGAATCATACTGAACGGCATGCACATTTTAAAGAGAGACATTTTTTTTACTAATATCTCATAAAACTGTGAGTGATAACTACAATAAAAGAGGGGAAAGTGTTCAATTTTACCCATCTGTGAGATAAAAACTCATTTATGTTTCCATGTATCATTTCTTCCCTTATTGACCAGTAAAGTATTTTTCTATTATTTTACATAGTACAGATAGCAATGTTATCACTGAGTTTTAAAAAAAAGTCTTAACATTCCTTTAACACATTGTGATCCTGGGGTTACATGTTGACTCTTTTGTGGGTATTCTAGCACCATCCTCAGTATTAACTGCTTCATGATTTGGGGGACCTTAACGTAAATACATTTTTAAGAGAGCTATTAATTATCCACAGTGCGGTTATCTGCTCCCACTCAAGGTCTTAATTCAAGAGTAGTTCCAACTAACTGGATCAGGCCAGAACAGGCAATGACAACCCTGAAATGTTGAAGTAAACATGTAAACAAAATACCTGAGGTTTAGGTTCTCAAATATATTCCACAAAAGACAAATAATTTGAAAAGTGTGGGTAATTTTGGCTTCAATCTATGGGTCTACTCAGTATATAATTAAAAATGTACTTTATAAATTAATTTCTATTTAATTCTGAGGCATCACATTTTTTCTCTGAAGGGTGGGGGAAATTTATACCTTCTTTTCCAAGTATTACATGTTACTGATCCCAAGATGTCAAGATGCCTGCGATGAAAGGAACATGGCAGGCCATGGTCATAGATAATCATCCCTAAAGGAATACTCAGGGGCAAAATGATTAAATGGATACTAGCTTTCATGATTCAAGCTATCTTTGGACTCTTTTCCATAGGATTCTAGAGGCTTATGTTATAAAAGAATGAGGCTTATGCTTGCTCACTTCTATTACTTAATAGTAAACATGAGTGGGAGTCATTGAACAGTACATGGTACTTGTGTCTTTGTAACTCAGTATTTCTTCTTTGTGGGACAGGACCATTGGCTAATTTCACTCTTAGCCAGAACACCTAAACTCTCCTATTTCCCTTATATTTTGAAAGGATGGGTACCATAGAACAATTCCTGATTTAGGTGTAAAAGTTCTGAAGAAAAAAAAACATAGTTGGATGCCTGTCCTTGAAAACTATTCTAACTTAACCCATTCAAACTTAATCATTCTAATCTTTATACACTCCTAATGGTATTTGTAGGTGCCATATATTTGATAGAGGCCAGATGGTATAATTCTAGAAAGTAAGTACATCATGAACTCATCAAAATAATATGGTATAGGAAAGAGAAAAATTATAGATGATAGCCTAAAATGACCTTACCAAAAAATAGGTATTTCCCTAGGATTTTGGTTGGGACCTGAATTCCAAAATGTCAGTTATTATCATTTACAGAAAGACAAATCAAAGTTAATCCATGTAACCACTGTCATGTGGAAGCCCATTCAGAGCTGATCATGATGAATCCATGGTACTAATTAAAACTACAGATACCCATGTTAATTGAGACATCATTATATTTTCCATTCCTTTTGTATTTTATATAATTATAAAGCAATGTCACAAAGCCTAGGGGAGTTCAGAATAATAAGATGTTCATGCTACCCTATTTATTCTGTGGAACACTCTAGTTTTCCGTACAGTAGTGATTTTCAACTCCGGCTATACTTTAAAATCAGCTGTATTCATAAAGCAGGATATCCATGCCCAACCACAGACTAATTAAATTAAATAAGAATCTCTGGAAGTGGGTTTAGGGTTTAGGGCATAAGGAAATTTTTTAAAAAGCTCCTCAAATGACGCTAAAGTACAGCCAAGATGGGAACAGCCATCCCAAGGCCTGTAGCATGGTGGTAGCTGTGAGTGATGGGCAATTTTTACACATCAAATTATCAGGTCGGGAATTTCTAAGATGAGAGGGGTGCTTGTAGCATTTATTAAATCTGGTGATGGGAGCAATTAAGTTTAAGAGCACAGGAAAACCTCAGGACATCCCCAAAAGCAAACTAGGGGAAAAGAAAACTACACCCTAATCAAATGCCATAGTTCATGGTAAGGCTAATGTTTAGTAGATAGATGGGCACCTCTAAGAATTTTAAATGAATATACCCTGAAAATGAGTGTGTGATGAAGTAACCTGTGTACTCATTTCTTTCTGTGAAAGATCTCTCCAGGGCACATAGATGACAATAGTAAGCAGTCAAGTTGCTACAGTATCTTCTCTATTAGGACCAATCACCCATCATCAATCACTGTCATGCCACTTTCCTTCCCAGAGATTTCTAGATCTTGGGCTGGAAAACCCGGGGAGGATGTTAGGATCAGGCTCACCTGTCTGCTGGCCTTTCTCTCTCTTCTCAACTCACCTAAAAATCTTGACAAAGGCAGCTTAGTAGGGTCGTTCTGACTGTACCTAGTTCTAAATAAGCTCATGTTCAGTTGTGGGGATATGTGTCCAACTCAAATCATGAAGATTTGAAGGCTCAAGCCTCAGTTTTGTCATATAGTAACTTTCAAGGTGGCAGCATGGTGACCTTTAGATTATTTCTCCTTATTTTTCCTACTTACAGATTACTAGTCTTTGGTTTGGATTCAGAGGATTATCAAAAATCTGGAATGCATTTGTGAATTCTTACATCACACCCTTCGTCAAACCAAAAGGGCAGTGCTGCCAGGACCCGCCTGCCAGCATCTCTAGTGCTCACCCTCATGTTTATAGAATACTTTTCATGGCTTATGATTTTCTGAAGATTCATAAGACTACTGTAATGAACCAGAGAAAAGAAAATAATCTTAAAATTCCATCTAAAAAAATGTGCTTTTCAACTACAAAAGTGATGACACACAAAAGTAGAGTGAATCAGTAATTCCCACGGCTTTTATAAAACTACCGCAGTCCTGCCATGTTTTATTAAGTTTTATGGTCGTATAATTTTTAATGGCCTTTTGAGGAGAGAACCTGTATCTCACCCTGTTTCTCTCTATTCTGCTATGTTTTGGAAAATGTTGAAATGGTAACAAAACTAACCCAACTGGCGAAAAGGGCACATAAAATGGAACAGAAGGTGTGGGACAGCTCTTTGCACAGGAATGCAAGCCCCTTGAGTGTGGGCACTAGAACTTGGTTCTGTGGCTTCTCTACAGGAGATCCTGTCCCCTCTTTATTGTTTAAATTGTTCCTCGACAGTATTAGGGGGGTTAGAGAGGACTGCAAGTGCTGCCAGACTCTTGTTTCTTCAAGTGTGGTTACACAGTAGGAGAAAACAAGCCCCACACATTTAGAGAACAGAAGGTTGTGTGTCTTTTGGTGTCTAGTCTCAGATTTCCAGTTTGGTGTTTAATACTGTTTGCGTAACCAGATACAATTGTGTGTGTGTGTGTGTGTGTGTGTGTGTGTGTGTGTGTGCAGATAATGTATAAATCTGCACTTTCACAGTTTAGAAAATATTGTGCTCCTTATTCAATTCTGAAGCAATACGCTTTTAAAAGATAGTGTCTACCTAACACACCTTAATTTGATATTGATTCCCATCGTTAAAAATAACCAACTTGTTTGGCATTACAAAAACCAAAGAAGAAGGTAGGGGAAAAATGCATAAAACCTGTGAAGAGAATTATTTTTCTGAGAAATTAAGCAGCATTTTCATATAGCTATGGTTTATTTCCTTTCTTAAAAACTTTGGCATAAGGGATGGCCTCAAACTCTAAGTCAGAATGTCATAGTTTTTGCAGTAATCAGAGTTATGGAAAACTATTCCTCATGCTCCACTGGATTTTGGTCAAAGGAAATCAGAAAACATTGAAGACATCAGAACTTAACAAATCTTGAGAGTCCATGACTCCCATAAGTATAAGACATAAGAAAAAGAGAATGCCTTTTGTCAAAGAATGGGTAAGGAGATAAAGATAGGGAGAAGAAAATGAACAGACACACATGTATTAGTTTGAACCAGAAGAAACTGGCATCTTTCATAGGTCAAAGATGGTCAAGTCCTTACAATTTTAAAAAGTTCAATCCAATATCAAAATCCCAACAAGTAAACAATGGTTGACATCAGTCTTAAGAATAAAAATGTTTTCTCTTTCTTCCTTGTGTTTGAATTGCTTTACCTTCTCTTTTCTCTAAATCAAAGAAGGAAATAAACCACTTGACAAAATAATCAATGAACAAATACAATAGGGAAAAGTTTAAAAGGACAAAAGGACAACATAATAGACACAAAGAGAGAAAAAGATTAGAGATTGAAAAGGAAGAAAATGCAGATAAACAGAACATTTTTAGGTTGAAAAAAAATTTAAATGATGCAAGGTCCAAATTCTAAAAGGTAAACACAATGGCTAGAAAAATATTGACACTTCACATAGTGACATCAAATGCAAAAACAATCTGCTTTATATTATTAGATGATCTTGGGGCTACTAAAAATTGGATTACTAGAACTTAAAACAGAAAGTGCCTATAATTTGGTTATATGTATTCAAATCCTCCCTTCTCCTCATGGAATGATGTTCTATAAATGAAGGGCTAATGTTAAATGGAGGTAAAGATTCATATGCACTCCTGATCCACTGTTAATATGTGAATAAATATTTCCAATAAAATCAGTTTTTGCTTTTCATTCATTCTCCCGAGCATTGGAAAGGGTCTATTTTAAAACTGATGTGCCAAATTAAAAGGACTTTTATGCCAGAATAAACAGAAAATGGGAAGGGAAAACACAGACAATTGAGTAAGAGACACCAGAATGAAAACACAAAAAAGAATTATATATTAAAAAATAGTAAAGTGAAGGCAGACACTCATACAATGGAGGGTCAATGGCTGTTCAACTAAAGAAAAATCATCACAGACCCAAATATATAATGTAAACATTTTGTACAATGTATTTAAAGGTACAGAACTTTCGCATCCTCTCTACAAGAAAAGATACTATCTTTTCTGGTTGAATGCAAAGAATTTGAAAAATTTCATTTCCATTATTTGAAACAACTAATCCTTACAGCTCTTGAATTTCCACAATTATCATTAAAAAGCTACAAGCCTGATAAAAACAGTATTTCCAAAGTAAACATGGATTCAACTTTCATCTGGATGCACTGGTGTCCTTATTTCACTTTTAGGATAATGAAGATTAAAAGTAACAATAATGCTGGATGTAACAATCATTTTGAAAAAAAGAGAAAGAGAGAAAATAACCTCTAATTATCTTAAAATGATAGCTTTCTTTTGTTGCTGTTAATGTTTTCATCCATGTGGTCCAAGTACAATGGTAAATGGCATTCTAGTGTGTAACATTTGTAAAAATGAACCAACACAACAAGTATTTGTAAATGTATTTTAAGAAGTCATTTAAGCAGCAGCGTAGCTTCTACCAACTGTGTTAACGGGTGGCCTGAGGTTGTCACTTACTAGAATTAGTGCTGTCATCCTTGGTTCCATCGAGAGCTCCATCGGGATGCATTTGCAAGTAGTAGCCTTGCCTGCAATATAACCTGGTCACTATACCCTTGAGCTGGGGATCTGAAAGGCAAACATAGTTATCATAAGCCTCACAATGTGTCAGAATAGAGTTTCTTTTTTTCTTTTTCTGATTCTTTTCTTTCTTTTTCAGAAGAGGGCATTGGATAGAAGTAGCACCTTTCACTCTCTATCTCCCAGATTCCTCTGTCTGAATCAAACTTAGAGCATATTGATCAGTAAAGGTGAGGAAAAAGCAGTCATACGTTGCATGTGTCAGCAGCAGAAAATAGGTCCTTTTATGAAACTAATGTGTGGATTTAAATTATTAATTAACACAGTTGAGCTACTTAATAATCTATTCGTTTAATTATTAGCTAAGTCCTAAACTAATTAGTCTAATAGTCTAATATCATTCAGGATGGTAGTACAAGAGTTGTGCAAACTTCTGCTTCTAAGAAACCTTATTAAAGGCTTTTTAATGGATTTTTCTTTTTACTTAATTTGACAGGTAATCCCAAAAGGTGAAAAACCTATAATTAAAAAAATCATACTAACATTTTGATATGCATTCTTAGAAAAAGCCCCATTATGGAGAATGCCTCTTTGATGTCTAAAGGGTCAGCCTGACTGGCATGGAAGCATCTAGTGTTCATGCATGACCCATAGAAAAATGGGAGAGTCGATTTCTGAGCTCAGGGTGAGGCACCATAACAAACCTATGCTGTCAGGTCAGCTCTGTGGCCATAATCTGGACGAATTAGACAGTTTACACACATTTATAACTAAAAAATAGAGTGAAATTATATAACGTGGATTTTGATTCTTAGCCAAAAGGGCCAAGGATAGAGGACAGTGGAAGTTTATTAAAGCAAAACGGGAAATCATATGGTAACAGACTTCTCATTTGATGATTCATTGAAAAGAAAACCATTCAAGTGACCCAGGCTTCACAAAGAGCCAGCTGTACCTTTGAAAATAAATATTTACATGTGGCTTTTCAAAGGCCATCCTTGTTTTATGACTAGATATGATGTTGGACATCATATTCATCACCATGGCAACTGGCAACTCTCCACAATCGCTGAATGGGACATGCAAATACGATCATGCTATCAAACAGTAGAATGGCACAGAACAATGAAGGCTACCATCTTGTAATTGACAGAAAATTTGTGGATTTGCCAACAGGTGAACACAAACAAAAAAACACACATGTCAAAAAAAAAAAAAAAAAAGGCTCTTCCAAACCAGAATACCCTTAGTCTTTTGTTTAGTCCTCAAGAAACTAAAGACAATGTCAATATATATTATTATGGACACATAATATAACTAATAATTTGAGAAATGACTTTTTGGTACTTAGATTTTCTTCAAAGATCATATGATAGTGAAGAAAATCTGGGGGGAATACTGCATGAACACCACAGCATCACATCAGTGTAACTAAATATAATAGATGCTTCTAGAAGACTAGGATTAAAAAACAATCTAAGTGATTATTGGGATTGTGTGACATATGTTCCTTGTTCTGTAGTATATACCTTTAAAAATCACACAATTCTAAGAAGTGCATTAGTGGGAAAAATTACTCTTGCACCTTAGTCTGCCATTCGCTCAGTAAAATTTGACTGGGTTATTGACCCTCTACGTATTGAGGACTTCTTTTCTTATTTATGCTGCATTGTATTTATGCTCATCACTGCAAATAAATGGCATGGAAAAGAAGAGAACAAAGGTAAAAAGTCAGGTTTTTAATTGCCATGAGGACATACAAGGAATTTCAGAGATTGATAATCCTCTGTAAAAGCTTTATGTTTTGAATCACTTAGTGTTAATAATTCTACATTTTAGCTACTACTTGAATTAAGTAGGTCAGGCAAGGCAGTAAAAGACACATAACCCCCACAAGCTCCCTCACACTTAAAGAGAACACTTCTTCCTCTTCTTTTTTTGTTGCTTTTCCTATTATCAAAAAGACAAGAGATAACAAGTATTGGTGAGAATGTGGAGAAAGTGGAATCCTTGTGTACTGTTGGTGGGAATACAAACTGATGCAGCCACTGTGGAATACAGTATGGAGGTTCCTTAAAAAATTAAAAATTAAACAACCAATCCGCTTGATACCGCAAACCCACTTCTGGGTACACAGCCACAGGAAATGAAACCGGGTCTTAAAGAGATCTACAGCTCCATGTCCACTACAGCATTATTCACAATAGCCAAGATATGGAAACAACCTAAGTGTGCATCAGCAAGTGAATGGATAAAGAAAATGTGGTATATGTGCACAACAGATTATTATTCAGCCTTTAAAAAGAAGGAAATTGTGCCATTTGTGACAACATGGATGGGACTGGAGGACATAAGTCTGAGCAAAGTGTGAGCAAAGAACGAAACCATAGTTTTGAGTTCTCACTCAATTTCAAAGAAACGAAACAAAATTGATTTCTATGCATCTAGTCTCACATTATTTGATGTTCTCTTTTTGAGGAACCATAATAACACTGACTGTGCTCTTCCCAGGCGCCAGGCACTGTGGTAAGTACGTTACAGGATTAACTCATTGAACAAACCAAAACTTACTTATTAGAAAGCCCACTTTGAAGACGAGAAGGTGGAGTCAGAATGATGGAGTAATTGACAAAGAACACAAAACTGACAAGTGCTCCACTGGGGTTTGAACATGATCTACATTTTAACCACTAAACTGTGTGGCCTCTGGAAGTTGAACAATTGGCCCGAACCATCTTAAGAATCTAAACTAAAATGCAAACCAATCTTGTTTTCTTTTTTTTAACTAGATTTTAAAGATTAACCACAGCTGTATATAAACCCAAACCCTGCATACCTAGGGCCAAATCAGTGATTAGAACAATCACATGAAGTTAGAAAGAATCAAAGTGCTTGAAAATCTCTTCTATGATCCACCCCACTTTGCCATTGGCCACATTCCCAATAAATTTCCACTCATGAAACCCTCACCAAAGTTGCAGATTTAACACTGTAGGTTTAAACTCATCTGTGTCATTCTCCCTCCTCCACCAACACCAGTCGGAAGGTACTTGTATCGCTGACTCATCAACTCATGTGAAAGGTCTCAACACTGTGCCTGCCTTTGTCATTCCGGCTAAAGAATTGCTCGGTTTTTGCAGATGCTGTCTTCAAGATCTCCCTCACTTGCTCCTTGTTCTATTTGCACTGCCAGCAGTTCTTCAGGTCCCTCATTGCCTTCCTGGGTGGTCTTTGCACCTGCAGTGGGCCCATTCCATCCAGCAGATCAGTAAACATGCAGGGGCTCTGGCCACTCACTGAACTACTCACATGCCCTGCATTGTCTTCTACTACTCCACTCCATCCCCTGTATAGCTCAGCCCAGGTCACTGTGGGCTGCCTACAAATACCCCATAATGTTCCACATTTATCCTGCCCCCTTAACCTTCCCTGTCTCTACATAAAGATGCCCCCTTGCACATCTGTGTGCACATACCCACATGCACACATCTTTGAGTATTTAACTTCTTTTTCTCCTTCTGAAGTTCAGCTCCATCAATTCTTCTTCTGGGGCACTTTCCTGATACCTCAAGTGAGTTCAGATTCCTTCTTTAAACACTTTCATGGCAGCATTCTTCATGGGCATTACTTATTTTTAAAAAAACTACAGCATTATTCACATTAGCCAAACATCAAAACTACTTCATTTTGAAATGTTTTTAATATATTAAAAGGTACAGGAAATAATACAACCTAAATCTGTGTTAACCATGGAGGTTAATAAATGTTACTATTTTGCTTTATAATTCGTTATTTGAATTTCACATTTATTTGTGCAATTATGTGATTGATGTCTATCTCCAAACTGTACTCTAAGTTTCACGAAGAAAACTGAGATATATGATATGCTCACTGTTACATTTCTAGGGTCTAGACAAATAGGAACTGGGCAATATAGATTTCTTAAATGAATGCTGACTGGGTAATTATCTAGTCATTTCATATATTGCTAATAAGAGTGAAAATTGTAATAACATGAAATCCAGGATGGCAGTAAAGCCTAAAAAATGACTAAAAGTTTTGACCAGGCAATTTTATTTTCCAGACTTCTAACTTAAAACTAAATCCCCAGTATTATAAACTTTTGTGTAATGACATATGTGTATATAATATGGGCATGACCACATAAGAAATACTATCCATAGGGAAAATACATGGGAAACAACACACAAAAATGTGAAATATAAATATATTTTGCTGGTTCCTATATGTTTTTCAACACTTTATTATTTAAAAAATCTCCTATAATTTTATAATGAAAATGGAGATTTTTTAATAAAACATATTAATGCCTTTTGACAAAGGATGTGTAACGATAACATTTCATACATGCTTGCAAATAATACTGAAATACATGCATGCAAATAACCTAAATGCATATTACTGTTGTAGATTAACTGGTTGCCCCAAAATTTCTGGAGTCCACTTATTAGTTTCTCTTTGTGCTTAGCCACATGTCCATAAAACACTCACTATGATCCTCACTAATAAAACTAGCCATAGTGCAATATCACCGTTTATAGCATGAGGTCACTCTTTCAAATAATTAAAACAGAAGGAAACAAGCTCTTTCCTCAAAGGCCAAAAGTATGAAGCCAAATATCCATGACAAACACAAAAGAAAACAAAACAATTTTCCTGAGAAAGCAAATCACAGCAGCTATATGTGGTCCGGCAACAGCATGACTAAATTTCTCGATCTACCATGTAGAGGACAACATAACCCTCCATATGAGTCTCTATAGCAAGACTCAACTTCAGCCTAATACGTGCTGGACAGCTCACTTATACGTATTATTTCATGATTCTGTGAGGGAAACATTGACAGGAAAGACCAAAAGTATCTCACATGACTTCCAGAATGGCCAAGAACCAGTCTGGGCAGCTGCAACAGGAGTACAAGTCTCTAAAAAAGAGCATCCATCACGGGCTGCCTCCCTCCCAAAAAGAAAGGAAAGGCAATGCAATGTAGCGTGTGAAGACCCAGTATTAGAACTTCCTGTTTGATT